CTGGCTGTACTGGGGTGCGGTGCGGGGCTGCTCTGCAGCTCCTGCCTGGGTCGTGCTGGCAGTGGGAACGGTCCAGGTGCTGCCAGTGGATGGAGGTTGTTTGTGAATATCTGTTTTCTCCCTCTCTTTTTTTTGGGGGGAGGGAGAAGGCTTTCTATATGTGTGCTCAGGCTGGATTGGGTATTTCTGGGGCACCAGGAATAGGCTTGACTTTTGTATTCAACAGCACGCGTTTCAGAAGAGGACGTGTGGAAATCTTTTTTGGGTCTCCCTGCTCAGTGGGACTGCTTTGGCTCATTACAACTGCAGGTGGATTTTCAGGTGGTAGGGAGATCTCAGATTTTCTATCCTGCTTGATGTGTTCACCTTGCAATCCAAAGTTGGACTGGTAAAACTATATGTCATGTTTTGTCTATATTTCAGAACAGATAAATCTCAGTGGGAGCTTTGTGGAGTACTCTGGGCTCTGAGGGTTGACCTTGGGTCTCACTGCTTTGAGCCTGACTCACAGTAGAGGCTGTAACAAAGTTCCAGTTAAACTTTTTTTTTTTTTGGTGCGAGTTAGCAATGTGGATGACTAAAATTTAAACAAATAGTTCTGTTGCACAGAAAGGAATAAATGCAGGATGGTTGTTTTAGCCTTTCTGGCTCATCAGAAGTAACAGGCTGTCTTAGTCTGATTTTACTGTGAGCCCTTCAACTCAGCGAATCTGAATTCAGCCAATTCATATGAAGCTGATCTGAAATGAAGGTGCCGCTGTTTGTACACTGGTAGCAAACTCTCTGTAAATGCTTTTAGAGTTTACCCTGAGCTTGGCTGCTAGTGGCCCCTCATGTCTGGAAGCTGAAGGTAGGAGGATTTGGGAGCTTGGCAACAGGGCAGGTAGAATTTGACAGGTTTGGTAGGGTGCCTCCTAAGATCCTGGGGCTTTTGGCGCTCAGACCTGAGAAACTGGCACTGACATAACTAACTTTCTGAAATAAGACCAAAACCCTCTTTTTGTGTAAAAAGACCAAGCATTCGCCTATTTTCTCTTTGCCTTTCCTGGCAGGAGCTTCTTTCTATTGCCCACTGCTGTTATACGATGGAACCACTAGCAGTATTCTTGGGAATACTGCTTTTAAGGAAAATTATTTAACTTGTGTATGGAATGCTGTCTCTTAAGATTTTTAGTTTCATGGATTCCTTGCTGCCCCTGGAGTCTCAGTTTAATAGTTTCTAATTCAGTGAAGGTTTCTTTGCACAGTCTCTGCTGCTATTCCAAGCATCCTAAACCACTTATTCATTCTTCCCAATGCTTGTCATTGCACTCTTCTACCCTAAATATAGGGTAGTATGCAAACAGGAGAAGCTTGAGAGTAAACTGAAGTGCTGGGAACACCACTATTTACTTGGAGAAATAATCAGCAAAACCTTGCTGATTCCAAGTTGCACTATTTTCTTGCTACAGGAATTTGCCAGCTTGCTTTGGGAGCTGGCACAAATTTTTGTATAACCAGGAAATTTATTTTTATGGGGCATCTTAGCTTAGAAATGCTTCTTTCTTTAAGCACCATCCAAACAAAGTAAATTCTGGTTAACTGTTAGTATTAGGCCTGGTGAGCTGGAAAAAGTTGTTGGGCTGATACCAGTAAATCTGTTCTGCGTCTTGCTGTGTGCTAATATTTTTTTGTATGGTATTTTTTAACCACAGGCACTTTTCTGCTCTTAGAAATGCCTGATGTTCATTGCGAGGTCAGACAGGAAGCCCAGCACTGTTTGTCCACTTCTTTTTACTGTCATCTCTCACCGGCCAGTGTGCTGGGCTTTGCTGCTGTGAAAAATGGGTGTGGACACTTGACAGGTACAGTGAAACCTCTCATTAACTCAAACTCTTAACGTGCATGATTAGAGTCAGCTCAGATCTGATTGTAACTTCTCTTCCATGGACTGCTGGTTGGAAGGAGTTCTGGTATGTCTTTTGTTGGCCAAGTTATACTCCAAAGGTGAGGGGATAATGTTGGAGGGAGCATTGCTTCCTGATTAGTGCGAATGGGCCAACTGACAAGCCCAACTTTATGGTTGTGGCCAGTGGTGTGGCTCTGCAAAGAGATGGTGCTTTTGAGTGCTTTTGCCTTAAAGACTGGTTTGGCCATGAAGAGAGAAAAGAACTGCGCAGTTGCAGCAGCTGGTTTCTGTGGCAGTTTTCATGTTATCATCAATGGGACCCCTTTAGTGTCCACGGTGCAGGTGCAAGATGTGGTATTTTGTTTGTTTAGGAGAGAACAAGTAATGTTTTTGACCTGCAGGAGTGGTATTGCTCAGCAGAGGGAATGATGTCTTATTGCCTTTTCCACGTCCCATGGGGAGATAACATGAGAGATTATCCTAGAGAGATAGCATGCTGTGCCAACCTGGGGATGGACTATAGCTGAAAGTAGTAAAACTGTCTGTCTCTTGTTTGATGATGACAGCTATCTTAGAGAAAGTTTCATTGCAGGGATGATTTCAGACAGTTTGTGCCTTCCTTCCTATAAGCTGAGGAGTAACTGCTAGTAATGATTAATTTAAATAAGGAAAATATAAACCCTGAATTCTCTTTGGGCAAATAGCGGTCATGTAAAAGTCTCTAGTGTTCTTTGTGGTACCTGTAGACGGTCTACCTACTACTTCTGGTTTGTTGCTAAAGCAGTTTGGGGAAAGGCTGTGTTTCCAGCAGCTACAGATGATCCTGGTTTGTGTAGGTCTACAATGTAGCAGGACTTCCCTACTTTCCAAGGCTTAATGTAGTTTATTTCTCCTATGCAGGTTGCTTTACTAGTCTGGTAGTGGCACCATGTTGCTGCTGCTCCTTGAGCTCTGAATACTTCAGTGGTGACCTGGGTGAAATACAAGTAAACACACAGTTGGATTGACCTAGCATATCAAAGCTCTTGGTATGCTGAAAATGTTTGTTTTTGAGATGTTTGTGCACTCTGAAGAGCTCTGTACCTTAAACCCAATTTGCAGGGGACTGTGACCATGTTTAAGCTGTGAAAAACAAAAGATCAACCCAAAGAATCTGTGCTTTTAGTGCTTGTTCTGTGAGATTGAATAAGTTGCTAGCAAACTATTAAAGTGCTACTGGAAAAAAGTTATTATGATAACCTACCTGAGTAAACTAGGTAGACAGAGTTTCTGGTCTAATGCATTTTTCTATCTGTGTCTCTTTTTGCATTTATCCCTTGGCTTAAATTGTCTCTGGTTCATCTATTCTAGAATAAAATTTTATCCTGTTAGCGGGAAAGATGGCTGTATTTATTTCATGTTACCAGCTCAACCCTGTCAAAAGGAGGTGGCCCAACTCCCCTTGCTGGGTAGGCCCACTTTCTTCATTGCATCAGTGCTTGCTGGACCTGTGAACAGATTGCTTGCATACCCAGCAGAAAGTTTCCTGGTTCTTTTGTGTGGTTTGTGAGTTGTTCTACCTTGTACAGGTGTCTGAGACGGTGCAAGGTGAGCAGTGGGAGTGCATGGCTTTGTTTTGGGTATGGGGAGGAAATGGAAGCTTCCCTCTTCTGTCAGTGGTGACTTACTCAGATGGGCTTCCTGCGTCTTGAAACCACAGCCTGAATTAAAGTCGAAGCTTCTTGCCTGATGGTAGCTTCAGCCTGAGTTATTAGCTAGGGCACAAATGATATAATGTACCCTAAAAATGCACCCTGTTTTCCTGCACGCTGTGTCCTGCTCAAGGTCACCTCAGCCCGGCAGTGCTGGTTTCTAGAAGCCCGGCTTGATGCAATGCTAGGAAGTTCCTCAGAATCTCTGCCGATGGCAGTAGCACAGCCTCACTGCTCTTCCACGTCCAGGATACCATCTCTGAGCAGCGCGTTGGGAAACAAGAGCAGGAAGGGGCTGCTGCAGCGCTTCTGCAGTTCCTTTTAGTGGTCCTTGCATGTGTCTGACTGCAATGGGCTTGCAACAGCCCCCTACCCCCAAACCCTACCCAAAATAGTTTTCTGCTGTATGGCTTCCTAAGCTGTGTCACTGCAGGCCATGCAAGTCCCACTACTGATGCAATTTCGACTGGCTTAGGGCGAGGTGCAGTGAGCAGCAGAGGGTAAAGCTGTGTCGGATGGCTCAGCTGATGTAACAGCTTGCTGCTTTTGAAGAGGAAAGGTCCTAGTTCCACCTGCGTGGTTGTGGCCATGGTATTTGTCAGTCTTTTTGCTGAGCTGATTTTTTTTTTTTCCTCTGGGTTAACTTCTTGCAAGTTAGCAACCTGAATTGTCTGAAGGATCTAAAAAAACATCAGAGCCTATGTGAGTGTAGAGGGGAAGCAAGGTCCGACTTAGAGAAGGAGGGGGAGATGGGCATGGTCCTTATGCTGGAGAGCTGGTAAGCTGGTTCAGAGTGAAGTACTGCTCAGTTGCTTGAGCCAGTCTCAGGGCTTGTTGCTCTTAAAAGGGCCGTGTTCTTTCTCTGCTTTCACTGTGTCCTCTTGCCTCCTCCTATGAGCCTGCTGTGGTGCTAAGCTGATGCACTGATGAACTGATCCAGCTAACTTGACATAAAATTGTCCTCCCCCCTCCCCCCTTCCTCCCTAGATTCTTTCTCTGATGGCTTAGCAAACTGATCAGGAGGGGATTCAGACCAGGCCCTCAGAGGCAGGGAGCTGTTATATCAGCAGCGCTATCTCATGGGATTGTGCTCTTGGCTATTACAGATATTTCTTCATCAGGGTTGAGTATTTTCATGGTTTCACTGGCCAGCAGAGATCCTATAGGCCTGCAGGAGTGGAGGGTAATTCTTGATGGGGTTCAAAGTACATTGGCTCCAGCAGCTCTTCGCATGCAGGGAAGGTGAAGCATGGAAACAATGGTAGAACTTATCCCAGACCCAAAGGTGAGCAGTGTTCTGTTTCGTTTGGGTTTTCTCTTTTTTCTTTCTTTTTTTTTTTTTTTTTAAAAAAAAGCTCATAGCCTCACATAGGCATTTGAATGAAGATTTCCTCAGAGTTCTCCTTTTTTTCCTTCCTTGTTTTGTGACCTAGCTGCAACACTTGAGGAGCCAGGATCCACAATATTTCTGAAGTTGCCCATCCGACCCTCTTATGACTTGAGCCCTTCTCAGCAAATCTGTCGGAACATACACACCATAGCCATAACAGTGACTCTGAATTTGTATAATGCATATGTGGTGTGTATAGTCATAAGAGGGGTCGGATGGGCAACTTCAGAAATATTGTGGATACTGGCTCCTCACAGCAATCAAACAAATTGGTTTAGAAACCTCTTTGTGTAATATTTGATTTTTAAAATACTTCTCTTTAAGGACCTGACAAGCGACATTACTCCGCTCCCTCCTTGGGGGGTTGAAAAAGTGATTACAGGAGAGATTTTAGTTTACTCTCTAACATAGTTATAGGTCAAGCTAATGTTGAATGCTCATAGGTTATGAATTCACACTAGGTCTTTTGGGCACTCTTTTTTTTTTTGAGCTGAGTTGTACATTTAGACTTCAGAGAGCTTAATCTTCTGTGGCGTGTTCCTTATGGGTGGGGATTGGCATTCAGTGATTTTGATGAGGGTTTCCAGTAGCAGATAACTACTGGTCACTTGGTATCAGCCTCAAGGGTTAGGGATTGGTTTTGGATAAACTGGAAAGTAAGAAAAGGTTGGGCTACAGTTTGAACCAGCAGTTTTCCACCTGAGTAGAAATCATGTTGAATTATGACAGGTGACATGAGTGTCTCATGCCGTTGTTGCAACATAAGATCATACAGTGTCAGGGCTGACCTATGCAGCCGGTTCCTTGCTACAGGAGTACTGCTTGATGCCTATCAAATAGGCTTTGGTCAGCCCCTAAATGGGCTCTTTCAGACTCTTTGGGAAATGCCCTTCTTTCCAGAGTTTTCTCTTAAGTCCCAGAAAGGATTTCCTGGTGTACGTGGCTTCTTTTGGGCCTTTTAGTTGCAGGGCAGAGGGACCAAGATGCCAGAAATGATCCTTGTCTCTAGCGCTCAGTTATTCAGAATTTCAGGATGCTGTTCCGATACCTCTTTAATCAAAATGCAGATATTTGCTGAGTCTTTCCTGTGGTTTATGTGAGTCTCCCCTAAACGTATTCCCTAAAACAGTCCTCCAGTGCTGTTCTCCAGCTAAGAATTTCCTCATGCTGACTTCTTGCAACTTATCAATAGAGAGTTAGTATCCTTTACCGCAAGGAAGGTTTCCACCAGGCTGCCTTCATATGTTGCAGAAGTTGAAGTAATGGTGTAGAATGGTGAAATTTTCCTGTTATCTCTGTGTTGTGGTCCTTCCTACAGGAAGGCCTTGCACAGGTGTCAACTGCTAGGTGTGTGTCAAGAGGCATTTTGAGCCAGGAGGCAGAAAAGCAATATAACTGTGTGCAGATATTGAATGCTCTGGAGTGATCTCTTTTTCCTCTAAGAAAAAGATCTTCCCTCCTAGATCTGCTTCCTCTGAGGATAAGTACTTTGCTCTTTTAAAAGATAAGGGGTTCTTACTATAAGATGATCTGGCAGTAAATTTACAGCTACAGAGTTTGATGCTAGTGGGAAAGCTGACATTGTAATGATTTTGACATTGGGCTTGTAATGATAAGAATGTTCTAAGTTGAAATGATTTGGTCCTTATGCATGTCCATCCCTTAGACTTTCCAATCAGGCCTTGACATCTGTTAAGTGCCTGAGTTCTCTGTGCTGTAGGAGCTATTTCATTCCCATGTGAAAGAACATGCACAGTGTTTTCCCACCCTGAAGAAAGTATTTCCAGTGGAATTTATGTAATAGTGTCTGAGGCCTGCATTAGAAGATAAAACATTATTCTAAAATCTTATCTGAATTAAACTTTGCAGAATCCCATCAGAAAGGTACAACAGTGTTCAGAAAACAAAGCTGCCTCTCACCTGGGGGGGAAAAATGGGAACCCCTGATAGTTTTTGCTATTCATGGAGAAGTCGCTAGTCTCTTCTGCAGAGATCTCTTTTGTCCATAGACTAGAGGTCAGGCAGCCAAGTCCCTTTCTCTGCAAATCACAGTTCTACCTCTACAGACATTGGCTAAAGACTGATATGCATATGAGGGTGGGACTGCCCTCGTTGAAAGGGACGGTTTTCATCCTGTGCTTCTCCTAAAATTCTCAGATCTCTTCCATATCCCTCTCCCAAAATCTTCAGCATCTTTCTCTTCTCCTGCATGCTATACAGTAGCACGTGCTTTCTGGCATATTGAAAAGCACAATTTCAGTACGGCCAGCAACTGAATTTAATAGACACAAACAACTCGTATCATTGATTTCATTAGTTCTCACACTGAATTCATTTAAAGCTTCTGTCATGCAGTGTTTGTGAGCAGAATAGCTATTGTACGGGGTACGTAAGTGCTCCTGCAAGTTTTGGAGAGTGTGCTCACTAAGCAGGTCTGTCCATCATGTGAGCACTAAAGCATCAGGAGTAGGGCAGAAAGCATTATTATTTTAGACATGCATCTAGGTCAGGTGAGGGAGTTTTCAGGGTGGATTTTTTTGGTAGTAATAACATGGAAGTCACTAGAAGTGATTTGGACCAACGGTATGTAATCTAATATAAAAGTCCGTATCGTAGTGCTGTGTATGTTTGCACAGTAGCAATTTGGTTCCCCTGGAGTGAGCTGTTTAGCAAAAATGCCAAAATTCATATGCTCTGTGTGGGGAATTCAGTGCTTCAGATAGTCTTTGTGGAAGCCCATGTTTTATGTTCCTTCCTATGCCTTGTGCTAGTTGATCTTTCAGGAAACACTTTACCACATCTTTCAGTAAAACTTTGACTGTCAGGTTTCAGCCTTTAGAGAGCTAAAACGTTTGATCTTGTAAAAATAACTATTGCTAAGAATAAATATGAATCCCCTTCAGAAATGTACAGTGGAAACCAAAGTAACATGTTGCAACAGTACTGCATGCAAAACCCCCACATATCCTTGTTAGTAAGCAGTTCATAAGAAAAGTATAATAGTTGGACTTTCATAGCCTTATAAACACTTTGTAATCTAAGCTAATGTGAAAAGGGATTAATTTGTTACTGGCAAAGGTGTAAAATTATACGTTGTGGACTTAAAGCCTTTGAGAAGGCATCAGTATTCCAGTATGTTGTAATGGTGATAAGTTGGGATAAAAAGTTGTACATGATCCTATCTACTTAACATGGAGGAATGAAGTATTTTGTGATTACTATGGCTAATTCAGGCATGAAAAGGCTTGCTTAGAAGCCTAGATCAAAGGTGGACAAACTCCTGGAGTCTGAAGCTTCCAGATCTGTGGTGATGTTCAGTCACCACCTCCTACTCAAACCAGTATCCCATCTCCAGTACCTCAGTGTTTAATGTCCCTTATTTCTAGAAGCTGGAGTCTTATGACCTCCTCTTCCATCTCCCTACTATGCTGATTCTGTGATGCTACATCAAAGCCTGCTTGTCTCCCAGAAACACAGCATGCGAACCAAATGTGCTTTCACAATCCCCATCCCTGGAAACCATGTTGCCACAGCTGATTTCCTATGCCTGCTCTGTGCCCCAGCTGTGTTGGGAGCAGCTGCAAGGCTGTGGTAGGTTGGAGCCAGGACCTGCTGGTGCAGGTGGGGCCATACAGGGTTCGCTGGTGGCTTGGTGACTCTCACTCCACAAGCTGGATGCAGCTTCATGAGCTCAGCCTAGTCTGGCTGTTGAATGTGCCTGGCCTGCAGGCTTCCCAGAGAAGAGGCGTCACAGGAAGCTGCTGTTTTTCCTGCAGACCTCCATGCTGCAGCCTGGTGCTGTGTGCCCGTGCCCTTGCACGACCTAGCTCAGCATCTTCCAATCTTTTTCTTTTCCCTGAATTGCAGACTGCTGAAGCTTCCCCTGGAGGTGCATAACTTTGTATAGCAAACTTAATCCTGCTGGCTTCAGGTAATCCTTTTTTCACCTTTTGTGGATTTCTTGCGCATAGCCTGACATGCTGGTTGAAAACCACTGACTTGATATGATTCTTCAGGAGATCACTTGACGTGGCTTCTCTCCTGCTTGGTAAAGAAAAGCAGAGAACAGAAGAACAGAGCAGGTAGTGAAATCTAGGATTTGATTTTTCTGAAGTTAAGCTAAAATCATGATACTGCCAGAAGGGGAAGTTCTGTTCTCTCTCCCTTCCTTGACTGCATGTACCTATGTGATTTGTGGTGAGTGGGTCAGCTCGGATCCAGCTGGAAAAGCAGTCTACCACCAACACAAGGGAGATCACAGAAAGCAAGGTTAGGTGCAAAGCTCTTCCTTGTGAATATTAGGAGGTCCGAGTGGTGACACTAGTGGTGACTTTTGGACTGGTGCACTAATGTGGCTCGCTCACCCCAGCTCAGTGCCTGGGGGGGAAAGTCCCATTATCTGGCTGTATATGGGAATTCAAACTGGCTAAAGTAAGCCCCTATGTAAGTGTTTATGGGTATGATTCTTCAGAAGCAATTAAGAGCATGAGTCTTGTTAGTGAGATTTGTGCTCTGACTGAAAGTGCTACTTATTTGGACCTGTAGTCTTCAGCTGTGCCAACTGGAGGTCAGCTGAAGCAATGGGTAGGTTGAGCATGTGGCTAGGTGTTTTGTTCATAGTGAATAAAAGCAAGCCTCAGTACTAATAAAAGCAGATGGCTCAGCTCTGTAGTCTGAATTGATCCAGGAATATACACCTTTTTCCTTTCCTAGTATGTTTGTTGGTGCTCTGAGTCAAAGCTGACCCCGGGTACATAAAGAAGCTTTTGAGCGTACTGGTCTAAATTTGAAATTAACAGAGCACAGAAGCTGCTCCGTTCCCTGCTGGGAATGGAGGAAGGGTCCTGCCAGCTGCTGCAAAGACATTGCTTTGGGAAACCTGGTGATGTAAACCTACTTTAAAGAAATGATCTTGAGGATCAGCTGGAATAATTAAAATGGCCACTCTCCTCCTGCTTGGGCCTTGTGGTAGCTGCTTGCTGAGCTGATTTCCAGGGTACTTTTAAAGGCAAACAGTTGTCCTGTTTACCTCAGTTACCTGTCCTCATTGGGAAGGAATTATCTGAATTAGCAGAGCTGGGAAGTTATTTTTTTCTTTGCTTAGGCTTTGTTGGGGGAAGCATACGTTTGAACTCTTCTGGGTACAACTGGTTAATGATCCTTTTGGAGCAGAAACAATGCCAAACGCTACTGCTCCTGGTGGTGATCCTGAAAGGAAGGGTAGCATTCCAGCTGTCATTAATTCTCCTGAGCAGACTGTGTATTACTTCAGGTTTTTATCTTTGAATGGTCTTCTGGACTGTGTGCTGCCCAAACAAGTTCATGGTGCAGAGACCATTCTTACAGGAAAGAGAACTTGCAGGCAGTGTCTCGTTCTGTTTGCTGTTGGCAGGCTTTAGAGCAGTTCCTTGCATAGAAAAGTCACATGAGAAAAGCATTTAATATATTTTTAGATGTCTCTTAAAGTGGCTTAGTGGCTGAAAAGAAACCTGTGTCAGGTCACTCCCCTGCTTGCTGCAGTTTGCCCAGAAGTCCTTGAGTGGACTATTAATGTGGAAATGTGGAATAGAACCACTCAGCGACGTCTGCTATAAGGGAATTGCCTTGCCTGCTACCAGGATGCAGCTGCCTGTGGGAGGGGGCCATTGCTGTCAGTATGTGCCATTTAAATGCTGCTTAGGACAATAGTGGGAAATGAATGGGAGATGGCCAGCTGAAACTAGTTTAACTTCTTTTCCCCTTTATCTTTTGGAGTTGCTTAGGTTTTCTTTGGTGATTTTTGTGGAGTACTCCTGCAAGGCTTAGCACAGTTTTGAACAGGGTCCAAACCTAAGGTGCTCTACGGTCTGGTCTCCTTTCTGTGAACAGCAGCAGAGCTATACAGTAGCTTCTCAATGAGCTTGAGCTGGTGCTGCTGAAAGATGATGTCCTGCCTTTCACTTGTGCTGATGCAAGGGAAAGAAGTGGTCTGACAAACCCCAGCCAGGAAACTGATCCAGGTTGAAACCAACTTCTTGTTTGTTTTTTGCTGTATTGTATTGGTTCCAGTTCTCTGGGGCTGTAATGGTTGTATTGGCACAAAAAGGAGAGAGGAGCAAGATGGGGAAGTGTGGAAATACTTCTGGAAGTAACACCAGCTTAAAATGCCTATGCAGCTGACTGTAATGCTGATGCATGTCTTCCAGCAAGTTAGAGCAGATCTGTCCCGGGAGGAAGAGTCATTTAGGGAGAAAGTACAGCAGTTCGGCTGGAGGAACCGTTTGGAGTGCCATGCTGCTTGTGCGTCCTGTATTACATGATCTCTTGAAACCTCTTGAAACCTTTTGATGGGACGTTGAATAGGAGGGTGCATTAGAGTAGAAAGGAAGCTTGATGCGTTGCATCTCATTGTATCAGAGACTAGAGCATAACTGTAAAGTGTGCATTGTGGGGTAGGAGTTATAGCTGAAATCCTTGATTGCACATATGGGGTAAGATTATTCACACATCACAATAGGTGCTTATTTGATGGATGGGCTGTGCACCAGAGTCCCTCAGATTAGAAGAAACTTTTCTAGGAGTCATGCCCTTTAGAATGAGTTGAATGAATAGGAAGTGGTGATAAGTGAGGTGATTAGGAGATTTAAGGTAAGTCTCCTTTAAGAACAGCAGTATTTATGTAACAGCAAACACAAAATATTAATGTAAATAGGACAAGGCTGTGATTTTTACCTTGATGAATCTGGCTAAGGTGAATCTTCAGTGAGCGTGTATAGGCAGGTGGGACAAGAGAGCTGGAAAGTGCTGGACTGCTCTCCTTAATATGTCTGTGAAGCATTTTTGGCCATAAATTATGAAAGTCCTTAATGGGATCTTACGTTGCTGTAATGTCACTTGCAAGATCATGTCTAAAACCACTTCTAGGTGGTTACCACGAAATGATAATAATACTAGTTAGTGTGTTGGATGGGGAGAAGAGGGTGGCTCAGTGTACCTCAGTGATACTCTACAGAAATGTCCAGTAGGGCACAAGTCAGCCACTGTGCATTCCACATCACTAAATGCAGCAGTCAGTGGGGAATAGGGGCCGAATATCCCATGTCAGGACTTAAAAGTAGTCACACAGCAGTCTGTGCACTGCCTGGTACATTGGACTAATTCGAACAAAATGTATTTAATCCAATGAAATACAGAGTTGTAGGTAGGACAGGAAATGTCTGTTTTGTCTGCAGAATGGACAATTCTGTTGCTGTGAAGCAACAACTCTGAAATGGGTTTAGGACCACTTGCGTTACAGCTCCATGTGGGCTCCCACTGGCATTATTTGGGAAAGTACTGGAGTACCCTGGAGACGATCCAAAGAGCCTTGAGCAGGTACTGGAAGGAAATTATCTTTGAATAGAGACTTGAGACCTGCTACTTTAGGACTATGTCTAGATTTTGTATGAACAATTTTGAACACTGCTTGAAATTGGAATATGTAGAGGACTTTCCAAAGTGATTTGCAGCTGAAGAAAGTGCCCAGAGGAAGGTGAAAGATTTCTTACTGTTTTTTAATGCACTAAAGAAACAGGCATGAGGCACCAATGTACAAGTATTGTCAAAAGCAGAAAATTCTGGCATGCTAGAGGATCTTCAGCCTTTCCTCAGTAAAGAGGCAGTAACTAGACTAGAAGAGGAAGCTGGACAAATTCAAACTCAGGGGTGCACGTTTTTCTTGATTACTGAATAAATTGGAGAAATAGCTAGGGGGATACTATGGCTTTCCCATCTCTTGAAGTCTTTGACTCAAGACAACTTGCTCTTTCCAAGGTTTGTTTTAATCAGGTGGGCAAAACTTTTAAGGGTCTGTTTAAGGGTCTAATCTTTTACTGGCCTTAAATCTGGTATGGCCATGTCAAAAACATAATCTGAAATTAAAAAGTTGAGTTTCTTATATGACCAGCTAACCTAAACGTGGATTTAGCAAGCAAACTTGTTTTTCTTGTCCCTGTCACTTAAAATGAGTTTGGCTGTGTTAAGAACTCTTCTGAGATGTCGATGCATCTCACCCAAAGACCCAAATTGCTGCTTAATATATGCTGCCTCAATTTGAGCCGAGTTTCTGGAGCTGAATTTTAATTGTGAAAGTGGAAGCCTGAGCAGAGTGTGGTGTTCGTAGCTGAATATGTTAAGGGTGGTCTCCAGGGATGCTACAAAATCAGTACGTTCCATGGGCAAGCAAACCCCGTGATATTGTCTGAGACATTTTAAAATCCTGTTAAAGCAGTAATTGTGATCCCCAAACTCTCAGCCTATAATGAGGCAGGAGAATGTCAAATCAGAGGGGTGGTTACATATGCCACTGTTAGCAATGCCTTTTAGGGAGATCTGCAGTGTCGCAGGAATCTCTGACCCTCCCGTTGCTCCGAGACCTGCTGGCTTCCATCTGTGGGAAGGCTCCTAGGGCTGGTGGCTCATGTGAACTTTGCATGTGGTGCTAGGGACAAGTATGTCTGGCATTTTGCCCTAGGCATGTTTCAGTGCATGTAGAAAGGCCAGCAGGTTTCAGATGTGTTGTAAATTCTCCTCTGGTCCTTTTTAAGCCAGTGTCATAAATAGGTTGAGTCCAGTTGATCTGTCATTTGAAATGATGTAATGATTAAACTCAGCTTCACTCAGCTTTCCTATATCCTGCTGTCTTAGATTTTGTTTTTCTGTTCTTTAAAGGCCCGAGTAATGCAGATACCAGCTGATACATTTAGGTCCTGAAAAAGTTGATTTAGTAGAACTTGATATGAAGCAATATTTCTTACAATGAGCCAGCCCTACCGTAGTCTTTCTCTTTTTCCTTTTGATGCAAAAGTTTGTGTTTGCTCCACTTTCCAAAGAGCTTGTCATGACTGCAGTACAGTTTAGCACTAGATTTTATAGTTAATGCTATTTGAAATAATTCCAATGAAGTGTATGTGTCCTTTTTTAAGAAGGACAGGAGGCACTGCATGGCCTTCAGCCCAGAGC